AAAAGCTCAACAGGTTTGGCAGCATGTGTGAAGAGAAATCAGAGTTAATCTTTCGGGTCCAGCGATCAGTTCTGAGGAAGAGTCACAGGACCTGAAATGTTAACTCTGATTTCTCTTCACAGATACTGCCAGCCCTGTTGAGCTTTGAGCAACTTCTGTTTCTCTTTGATTTGCAGCATCCGCAGTTCTTACGGTTTTTATTCTGAAGAGTCAGTGGACTCAAAATATTCACTGTGCTTTTCCTTCCACAGGTGCGGCCAGACCTGTTGATTTTCTACAGCACTTCTTGTTTTTCAGATTGCCAGCAGAAGTCTTTTTTTAATCTTCTCTGGAGTTCCTTGATTCACATTGTTTCTTTTCTGACAGAGCAAAGCGGCATGTGGAACATTTCAAATGTTTTGATCCCAGCTGATGGTAACACTGGACAAATCAGATCCCACAGTGAAACCTGACTTGATACACCTCAAGTTTATTTTTTGCAGTTGGTTACTTTTGTGATTAGTCACTTAATGCATTTACACAATGCTGTCAGTGTTCCTAAACACAAGAACACAAGTTTATGATACAAAAGTTTCAAAAAACCAAGTTTCAACCTGTTTCCTAGAAATGTCCACTACAGATGCGCAACCCCAGAGAAATATTACTCCTGTTTCAACACATGACTTTTCTAATTAGCTGACTCATTCCAGTTTTCTTACTGTTACAGTTTTGAGATTTCTTTTTAGCTATGATTGTCTAACCTCTTTCTCAGTTCTTACATTTTAAAAACTTGCATACTAACTTTCTCACTCTAACTTCACAAACTAAAATCTTTCTGCTACTATGCCTATTCTCCTGAACTGGAAACTTGGTTCTTCTCCTTCGAGTAAATTGTTATGGACTTCTAATTCTTCTGAACTGAAATTAAACTTTTGCTTAAAGGAGTGAATGCAACATTGTGGGGATGTAGAGGTGTGATTGGTATGTTTCGTAGATCTTACATTATAAAGATGCTGATTCATCCCTGATCAGCACATAGACTCACAAGCTACTTGTCTTATACATACAATATCCATGTCTTCTTGGTAAGTGATGGACATGGAGTAATGCTTTTGGTTATTTTTCTTACTTACTCTTGAAAATGACCTGTCTTGATTGTTTTGTACCCTTGACATAGTGTGTAATGTGAACAATATGGAAAGTTTGGTCATCTTCTGAAATTTGCCTTTCACTTTGTTTCTGAAGCTCATTGACTTGTTTACATTCGCGCACCTTGCCTTACTACCATTTTGCTGCTCCCCTGTGTTTTGATCTGGTGTTTGGCTTAGTCTTTGGAACCAAATGTCCTGTAAAGTCCCTCACTCTCACATGTTTCAGTGATTAAGAAGAGCTGAACAGCTTTTGGGTAGGTGTGGCAAACCACACCTGTAGATTTTGTTGGCTTGGTGTGCTTTGTTAACTGGAGCAATTGTGTTGGCTAAACATAAAGCATGTCAGTGATGTTGTTCTGCCACTGTGGCTTCATACTTGCATTCACCCTCAAGTAATGCATCAAATGTCTGGCCCTTTCTCTTACTGGAAAGTTCCTCCCTTAAGGCTTTAAATGTTTAGAACTCAAAAGAACTGTTCTGACAGTTCCGCTTCAGAAAAATCATACTCATGCCAACAAACTGGTCAATAGATTGTTAGGTCTGTGGACTGTATACCACAAATTGGAGGCTATTCATTCTGACATTAAGTTTTAACTTAGGTTAGTCTTTGAGAACCTTCAAGATCATTCTTGTATCTTTCAGGTAACCCATGGAAAGGCCATTATACCATTACATGAATTTAGTAATTTTTCTGAAATTACAGCTTGCCTGAGTTTTACAGTTCTTGTCTCAGGATCATCCTTCACATGGCACATTAAGTACAATTGCATAGGTAGTTTGAACAGTTACAAATCTGTAAAGGTGTCACTGGATGCCTGAAGCATTGAGGTTTCTGCTATCCATGAATCAGCCTTAAAAATGTTGCAATGTACCAACCTAAAGCCATGTGTCCCTCACAGTATGTCAGCATGTGTTAAAACTGCTCTTTCCTTAAGAACTTAGTCCATGCAGCTGTTGCATTGGCCTTCTGCTCCATCTTAAGAGAAAACTTTAATCTTTTTGTTTTACTTTTAATTAAAGCAATCTTAGAAAATTATTTTGTCCTAAAAATTCATACATTCTTATCAAGAAGAAAGTAGTTCTATTCTCTTAATCGTTAATGCTCTAACAATAGATTTCTGTAGCTGCCTGCATTTAAAGAATCTGAATAACGATGAGCTACTCTCCCACTGTTTGAATTCTCTGTTTTGCAAATATTGACCAAGGCATTGGAGTATTTTACAGATGGCAAGTACTGCTGTCATGATTTGTATTTGCCTTTAACAGGATTGTTTATCTCATGAAACAATGCTTTTGTCATCTTCCATAACATAAGGCAGTGGGCATGAATATAGTAGAATCAAAGAATCTAACAGGCATTTATTAAGCTAACCATTTTGTAGAACATTACACTCAAGTGGTTTCAGTGTTAATATTAAGCTAATAGGTTACAGCAGAGCAAGTTTCCAGTTGAGTGTCATTCTTCAAGTGATCCAGGGGAAGATGGAGTCTGAGATATTTAAAACCCTCAGGTCACATGCTATGATACAGTGATGATATTATGACCATGTCTCTTAAAGGCATATTAACATGCTGACCATGAGGCAGAACACAGCATGCTCTGGTACATAACGTTGCAAAAACAATCAGGAAATTCTCTACCTTTCTGGTATGTGCAAGTCTGCTTGTTCCAGTTTATGTCAAAGTTGCAATCCCCCATTTATAAACCTCCGCCTTAACTAACTGTTTATCTAACGTTGGCATGTGGACAAGTTACCAATTCGCAGCTACTACCAAAGTAGCAGCATAAAGAGCTCCCTCTACAGTCTTAGACTGGGAGACCCATCGCTCAGATGAACCTAGTAATGGCCTGACATTATTATACTCTCAGAATGATTTTCTACAGCCAATATCCCACACACTGAGACCATCACCAGACTGTGGGTATGTCCCATTCCACCGAGAGGGCAGACCCACCACGGTGTGTATGTATATGGTATACTGGTAAATAATATACTGCACTAATAACATTCTTCATACTCTCAAATATCATGTTTGGACCTTACATACAAGTATAAACAAATACCCACAGTTGTCTATGATATTTCACTGACATGATTGGTCTGTGCTACCAAAGTAATTATTAATACATCATTGTTTATATGGTAAGTAATCGGAGCAGCAACTGGCTACTGGATACCTGACTGTAAGATCATGGCTACTTATTAAGATCTTTTAATTTAGGTAATCTTTTAAACACAGCTCTACTTTATCACCCTATTCCCTCATCCCTTAGCTCCCTAAATACACAAAATAATCTGTCTTTCTCAATCTCGGAACTTTTCCGCGACCTTGAAACTCACATAGCTCTTTATTCCACCTTCCTGGCCTCCTGATCCTCGCTGCACACTTCAGACCCCAGATTCACCTTATGACCCAGTGGGCCACTGCAGAGGATACATGATTATAAGGTCCAAGGCCTTATATTTGTGCAACAGGATGTCAACACTGAGTGAGGATGCACATGTTTCTAAATTTAAATCCTGGTGATCCATTGAGCAGTAGAGAAATAGAGAGAGAGACAAGAACAAGAAAATATATTACCAGACAGTTACAGAAAGAACGAGCCACTCTATGGGAGACAAATTGGTTCTCGCAAACAACTTCTCTTCTTCATAAGCATTTATAACTCACTATCCTGCAATTCCAATGACTCAATAACAATAATCTGGGTATTTCATGCCTCCGTGTATTTTGGGTGTGGGAAGAGGGAGGCATCATGCGATATAGGTCCACAAGCCAGCCCCGCAGCTCCCCACCCATCCCAAAGCTCATCCCCATTGATGTACAGTGGGTACTGTGATCAGCAGCCTGTGACTAAGTGTAAATAAGACATCAGACCATAAGATATAGAAGCATAATTGGGCTATTCAGCTCATCAAGTCTGCTCTGCTGTTCGATCATGGCTAATATGTTTCTCAACCCCATTCTCCTACCTACTCCCTGCAACCGTTGATCCCATTATTAATCAAGAACCTATCTCTGTCTAAATACACTCAATGATCTGGCCTTCACAGGCCTCTACAACAATGAATTCCACAGATTCACCACCCTCTGGCTGAAGAAACTCCTCCTCATCTCAGTTGTAAAGGGTCATCCCTTCACTCTGAGGCTTTGCCCCCAGGTCCCAGCATCTCCTACCAGCAGAAACATCTTTTCCACGTCCACTCCAATGAATACTTGCAGGTCCTTTGGGATTGTTAAAAACTCAACTTACCCCAAAATACCCATCCCACACCATAATATAGTCAGCACATGCAGCTGAGCACTGTATTTGGAGGGTGCCCTTTTGCCAATCAGGGAACCCCATCATCCAAAAAAAAAGAAAGATAGAGGCCTCTTTCATTCCTATCCAACTGCACTTCAAAACCCAACATTGCCACCCTCCTTGTCATTCACACCTCTCCATGCCCAACAGTCATGTCTTCCTCTGGGGTCCAGAGCCATTTTCTGGTTTTGTGGCCTGCCTGCAGTCCCAGTGATGTCCCCTATGGAGCGCTCTTACAGTCAGGTCTATTGAAACAACTGGCCAGCAGCTCCAGAGCAAGAGACTCTCTCTTCACTGAGAGGCAGAATTCTGCCTTTCTACCTGTTAATAGGGCCTGCTGCACATTATTTCAGTGGGGCTGACTGAGCTGCCCACTCCCATGTCCTCTCTGTAATTTCCAGTCCAAGGTTACTGCTGCTGATTTCTATTTTAAGTCTTTCTGCTGTATGATCACAATGAAGATGGTGACTGATACCATTGTCCATTTCTCTCCGTTTATTCTGTCATTCTGAATGAACAATGAACAGTCAGTGTCTACACTTTCACCAAAGTGACCACTGTACCTTTCAGAGTCCTGCTGCATGTTTCATCTGCTCCCCACCAACTGAAGCAGTCTGCCCATGGCAGGGATGATTGGAAGGAAGCAAACAGGTAGTACAGACTGTAGGTGAGGATGCCGCAGTACGAAATGTTGCCAATTGCTCCGAAAAGGATCATAGTTATACCCACACCTTGCAATAGAATGAGGAAGAAACAAAAACTATTAATTTGAAATAAATTCTTGGACATGGGTTCAGATAGTCAGGAAAATCAATCTTGTTTCACTGTAACAGAAACAGGAGTTGCTGGAAAATCTCAGCAGGTCTGGCAGCATCCGTGGACAGAAATCAAAGTTAATGTTTCAGGTCTGGTGACCCTTCCTTGGAACACTGGACCCGAAACATTAACTCTGATTTCTCTCCACAAGAGACTGCCAGACCTGCTGAGCTTTTCCAGCAATTTCTGTCTTTGTTTCAGATTTCCAGCATCCGCAGTTCTTTCAGTTATCTACATAAACGCATACACATATACACACTTTAGTTGTTCCATTTTTTATTGGGAGGTATTTAAAAACTTTGAGTCAATCTGCCTTCAGATGTCACAATTTGAATCATATAAAGCAAAGTTGAGAAAGAGCCAGTTATTGTTTCTCTTGATTTTCTGAGCTATGGAAATGTCATGAATTCACAGCCAGGCGAATGCAAGATTCAGTGGTGGTGCAGTTGTAATGTCTAGTAATCCATGAACCCCAGGCTAATGTTCAAACAAAAGATAAATACGGCACAGATACAGACCCTTCAGCCTCCAAGCTTGTGCCAATCATCATGCCCTGACTAAACTAAAAAAAAAAACAAACCTTCTTGCCTTATTCCATCCATATCTCTCTATTCCCTCCCTATTCACATAACCATCCAGATACCTCTTAAATGTCGCCAATGTGCCTGCTTCCACCACCTCCTCTGGCAGTGCATTCTAGGTTCCTACCACTCTCTGCATGAAAAACATTCCTTGCACATCTGCCTTAAACTTTTGCCCTCTCACCTTGAACCTGTGCCCCCTTGTAATTGAAGCTTCAACCCTGGGAAAAAGCCTTTGGCTATCCATCCTATCTATGCCTGTCATAATTTTGTAGACTTCTATCAGGTATCCTCTCAGCCATCATCTTTCCAGTGAAAACAATCCTAGTCTTCTTAACCTTGCCTCATAGCCAATGCCCTAGAGATCAGGCAACATCCTGGTGAACATTTTCTGCACTGTCTCCAAAGCTTTCACGTCCTTCCGGTAATGTGGCAGCCAAAACTGCACACAATACTCCAAATGCGGCCTAACAAGGGTTTTATATAGCTGCGGCATGTTTTGCCAATTCTTGCACTCCACGCCCCGGGCGATGAAGGTACGCATGCCATATGCCTTCTTAATCACTTTGGCCACCTGTGTTGCCACTTTTAGAGAAATGTGGACCTGCGTTCCCGCGTTCCCAGATCCGTCTGTATGTTAATGTTCCTAAGGGTACTGCCATTTATTGTATAATTCATACCTAAATTTGATCCTCCAAAATGCATCACCTCGCATATGTCTGGATTAAACGCCATCTATCATTTCTGTGCCCAAGTTGCCAGTCTATCTATATCCTGTTGTATCCTTTCACAATGACTGGCACTATCTGCAAACGTACTGATCAGACCACCCACATTTTCCTCCAGATCATTGATATATACTACAAGTAACAGAGGACCCAAGACTGATCCCTGTGAAACACCACTAGTTACCAGTCTCCATTCTGAAAAACACCCTTCCACTGCTAGCCTCTGTCTTCGATGACCAAGCCAGTTTTGTATCCATCTAGCCAGCCCACCCCAAATCCCATGTGATTTTAGTTTTTGAACCAATCTGCCATGTGGGACTTTATCAAATGCCTTACTAAAGTCCATATAAACTACATCCACAGCTCTTCCCTCAATTATATTTGTCACGTCTTCAAAAAATTTCATCAGGTTGGTGAGACATGACCTTCCCCATACTAAACCATGCTGCCCGTCACTAACTAGTCCATTTTCTTCCAAATGTGCATATATCCTGTCCCTCAGTACCTTTTCCAAGAGCTTCCCCATCACAGATGTCAGTCTCACTGGCCTATAATTTCCTGGATTATCCCTGCTTCCTTTCTTAAAGGAAGGAACAACATTGGCTAATCTCCAGTCCTCTGGAACCTTACTGGTGGTCAAAGAGGATGTGAAGATATCTGCTAATGCCCAAGCTATTTCTTCCCTGCCTCTCACAGCAACCTGGGATAGATCCTTTCTGGCCTGGGGAACTTGTCTACCTTAATGAAATTTAGGATACCCAATACTTCCTCCCTTAATATATTGACATTCTCTAGAGTATTTACACATTCATCCCTGACGTCAACATCAGTCATAGCCTCCTCGGTGAATACCGATGCAACATACTCATTAAAGATCTCTCCTACTTCCTGTGGCCCCATGCATAACTTCCCTCCTTTGACCTTCAAGGGCTTTGTTAGTTTGTAGCTGCCTAGACCTACTGTATGTTTCATTTTTCCTTTTGACTAAGTTTACAATTTCCCCCCGTCATCCCTGCCATTCCTATCCTTCAGTTTTGTAGTGACATGTATGTCCTGCACTTTAATCAAGTGGTCTTTAAAAGCTTCCCACATGCCAGACATAGATTTTCCCTCAAATAACTGCTTCCAATCCACATTCCCCAGTTGTTGGCTCATTTGGATGTAATTGGCCCTTGCCCAATTAAACACCCTCACCTAAGGGCCACATTTGTCCTTGTCCATGACTACTCAAAACATTATGGAGTTACAGTCTCTAAGCCCAAAATGCTCTCCTACTGAAACATCAATCACCTGTCCTAGCTCATTCCTTCATACCAAGTCTAGTAGGGGCAATGATATGGAGATGCCAGTGTTGGACTAGAGTGGACAAAATCAGAAGTCACAAGACACCAGGTTATGGTTCAACAGCTTTATTGAAATTCACAAGCTTTTGGAGCCCTGCTCCTCATTGGGTGAAGTGATTTTACTTGACGAAGGAGCAGTGCTCCAAAAGCTTGTGATTTTAAATAAAACCTGTTGGACTATAACCTGATGTTGTGTGATTTCTGATAATATTCTGGGGACATGGGTTTGAACCCCACTGTTGCAGATAGTGAAATTTCAAATTTTATAAAAGATCTGGGATTAATGCTAGCCTAATTGATGATTGTTGTAAAATTCCATCTAGTTCATTAATGACCTTTAGGGAAGGAAATCTACCATCTTTACCTGGTATGGCCTATATGTGACTCCAGACTCACAGCAATGTGATTGACCCTTAATAGCCCTCAAATCCCCTAGACAGTCATTCAGCTCAAGGGTAGTGGAAGATAGGCAACAAATGTTGCACAAGCCAGAAGTGCCTACATCTAGTGAAAGACACAAGAGAAAAAAATCCAATTTACAGAGAGACAATTATTCTCAGAATGTACCTATACACAGCCTTTTACTCTCCTGGCCTTATAGGACAAACTAAACAAAATTCTGTGCAGCAAAATAATGCGCTAGAGGCTGACATGTCAAGTCTCTGTTTCTAGAAAACAGTTTGCTATCTGACACAATGCCCAATGCCAAAGAAAAGGTGTTTCTGAAAATAATGTAGGTTAAAACCAAAGTTCATCTAACTTTTTAATCATGAATTAATGAACTAACAAAGATACAGTGGAAATATTAACTACAAGGAATGTGTTGGTGAGAATAAAAGAAGTTTGAATTGGGAATGGAAGCACAGCCCAACACCACCACTTCTGTGTGTAGGAAGCCTTGTGAGCCAGTGGGTAGTGTCTCTGTCTCTGCCTCTGCATCAGAAGCTCTGGGGGTCCAAATCCAACTGCAGGACTTGTTGGCAGCCAAGGAATATGTGGCTACAAGTACATAATCTTTAATCTTGTCCATATGCCAAAAGCAGGAGACAGCCCAGATAATGCTTTCACTCAAGTTTCAAGGGATCTACAACAAAAACCAAAGTTGCATTTGGTAGAATGATGCAAGTTTAGCCAGCAGCTCTATTCATTCCCCTCAGCCTTTCCCAAGTCAAAGCTCAAGCATTACCCCAATGGGCACTCACCTCACTGAAGCAGGCTTCATTATGATACCCTGGGTCTGCTCTTTCAACACTCTCTCATTCTGCAGGACTGGAAAGAATGTTTATCCTATGCTCTGTGAGAATCTATCTGCCAATCAGACAATCTGTCTCACCCTCACTCTCTCTTGCTCCTCCAATCACAAATACCTTCCCCACCCTATCCTTGCTGCTCCTCCAATCAGAGGTTCTGTCTTATGAGGAGCCGTAAGAGTGGGAAAGACGGACACTGTAATTGGAGGAGCAGGAAAGAAACTTTGATAGGAGGACAAGCTCCTCACTGATCATAGGACAAACTTTTACTAATTGCTCACCCTCATGAATGAGTATCACAGATGGTTTGGGATGGCATGTCCCAGTGTGGCGTTCTCATGCCAGAATGGCAGTCTCGTCCCAGCTACATCTTCCGTGCATTCCATCGTTCTTAAATTGGCTTTCCCCAAACCCCAGCCCCGAACTGGACTGTGATGAACTTTGTCTTAATTTTACTTTTCTTTATTATTATGTATGACTTCTGTCATTAATATAGGCACTGTGGTAGGGTGACTTATAAAACGTTTCACTGTACTTTTCATGTAAAAGTACATGTGACAATAAATTTCTGTTCTATTCTCCTGGGAGCAGATTTGCCTACCACACATGCCCACCTCCAAGTATATTGAGTGCTGTGTGTGGATCAGACAAATGCTGGATATGAGAGTACTGAGCAAGTCAAAGAATGCCAGATGTGACCTTAACATGACATAATGCTCTCCTCTCCTGACCCAATAAAATCATTAAGCCTTTTCGTCTCGTGAGGGTGGTTAAAAAGGCATTTAGCACATTTGACTTCATTGCTCAGTCCCTTGAGTATAGAAGTTGGGGAGTCATCTTGAGGTTGTACAGGATATTGGTAAGGCCTCTTCTGGAATACCATGTCTAGTTTCAGCCGTCCAGATATTATTAAGCTGGAGAGGTTCAGAAGAGATTTACCAAAATCCACAAAGCAGACTGCCCAGGCAGGCCCATTGTATCAGCCTGTTCCTGCCCCACTGAGCTCATCTCCACCTACCTTAACTCCATCCTCTCTCCACTTGTCCAGACCCTGCCCACTTACATCCATGATTTATCTGATGTCCTCCATCATATTGACAATTTCCAATCTTTTCCCTAACTGCCTCCTGTTCACCATGGATGTCCAATCAGTCTATACTTCCATTCCCCACCAGGATGGTCTGAGAGCTCTTGGCTTCTTCCTCAGCCAGAGGCCTGAACAATCCCCATCCATGACCACTCTCCTCCACCTGGCTGAACTTGTTCTCTCACTGAATAATTTCTCCTTTAATTCATCGCTCCTGCTGAGTCAAAGGAGTTACTATGGGTTACCTGTATGGGTCCCAGTTATGCCTGCCTCTAGTTTGAACTCCACCACCCCAGGGAAAAGACCTTGTCTATTTACCCTATCCATGCCCCTCAGTTTTATAAACCTCTATAGGGTCACCTGTCAAACTCTGATACTCCAGCAAAAAGGGCCTATTCAGCCTCTCCATATAGCTCAAATCCTCCAACCCTGGCAACGTCCTTGCAAATCTTTTCTGAACCCTTGAGATAACAAGGTGTACAGCTAGAGGAACACAGCAGGCCAGGCAGCGTCAGACGAGCAGGAAAGCTGATGTTTCGGGTCTGGACCTTTCTTCAGAAAAGGGTCAAGAAGGGTCCAGACCCCAAACGTCAACTTTCCTGCTCCTCTGATGCTGCCTGGCCTGCTGTGTTCATCCAGCTCCACACTTTGTTATCTCAGATTCTCTAGCATCGGCAGTTCCTACTATCTCTTTTCTGAACCCTTTCTAATTTCACAACATCCTTCCTATAGCAGGGAGACCAGAATTGCATGCCGTATTCCAAAGTGACCTAACCAATGTCTTATTCAGCCGCAGCATGACCTCCCAACTCCTATACTCAATGCACTGACCAATAAAGGCAAGCATACCAAACGCCTTCTTCATTATCCTGTCTACCTGAGACTCCTCTTTCAAGGAAATACGGACCTGCATTCTAACATGTCTTTGTTCAGCAACACTCCCAGGACCTTACCATTAAGTGTATAAGGCGTGCCCTGATGTGCCTTTCCAAAATGCAGCACCTCACATTTATCCAAATTAAACTCCATCTGCCAGTCTTCAGCCCATTGGCCATCTGATGAAGACCACATTGTACTCTGAGGTAAGCTTCTTCATTGTACACTACACTTTCAATTTTGGTGTCATCTGCAAACTTACTAATCATACCTCCTATGTTCACATCCAAGTCATTTACATGAATGCTAAAAAGCAGTGGACCCATCGCCAATCCTTGTGACACACCGCTGGTCACAGACATCCAGTCTGAAAAGCAACCTTTCACCATCACCCTCTGTCTCCTACCTTCGAGCCAGTTCTGTATCCAAATGGCTAGTTCTCCCTGTATTCCATGTGATCTAAACTTGCTAACCAGTGTATCAAGAGGAGACTTGTTGAACACATTACTGAAGGCCATGTAGATCATGTCCACCACTCTGCCTTCATCAATCCTCTTTGTTACTTTTTCAAAAAACTCAAGTTAGTGAGACACAATTTCCCATGCACAAAGCCACGTTGACTATCCTTAATCAGTCATTGCTCTTCCAAATACATGTAAATCCTGTCCCTCAACAACTTGCTACCACCGAAGTCAGGTTCACCAGTCTACTGTTCTCTGGTTTTTCCTTACCACCTTTCCTAAATAGTGGCATCTAGACTTCCAGCACCTCACCCGTGGCTATCAATGATACAAATATCTCAGCAAGGAGCTCAGTGATCACTTCCCTGACTTCCCATAGAGGTGTAGGGTATACCTCATCAGGTTCTGGAGATTTATCCACTTTTATGCATTTTAAGATGTCGGGCACCTGCTCTTCTGTAATGCTGACGTGGATACAAAATACCTATTTATTATCATCCCCCATCTCCTGCAATTTCACGCTTAGGCAGCCTTGCTTATCTTTAATTGGCCCTATTCTCTTCCTAGTTACACTATTGTCCTTAATGTGTTTGTAAAATCCCTTTGGATTCTCCTTAACCCTATTTGCCAAAGCTATCTCATGTCCCCTATTTGCTTTCCTGATTTCCCTCTTAAGTATACCCCTACTGTCTTTATACTCCTCTAGGGACTCACTCAATCCCTGCTGTCTATACCTGACATATGCTTTCTTCTTATTGTTGACCAACACTTCAATTTCTCTAGTCATCCAGCATTCCCTACAACTACCAGCCTTGCCCTTCACCCTAACAGGAACATACTGTCTCTGGACTCTCATTATCTCATTTTTGAAGGCTTTCCATTTTCCATCCATCCCTTTATCTGCAAACAAATCAACTTTTGAAAGTTCTTACCTAATACCATCAAAATTGGCCTTCCTCCAGTTTAGAACTTTAACTTTTAGATCCTTTTCCATCATTATTTTAAATGAATTATGGTCACTGGCCCCAAAGTCCTCCCCCACTGACACCTCAGTCACCTGCCCTGCCTTATTTCCCAAGAGAAGATCAAGTTTTGCACCTTCTCTAGAAGGTACATCCACATACTGAATAAGAAAATCTTCTTGTAGACACTTAATAAATTCCTCTCCATCAAACCACTTAACACTATTGCCGCGCCAGTCTATGCTTGGAAAGTTAAAATCCCCTACCATAACCACCCTATTATTCTTACAGATAACGGAGATCTCCTTACAAATTTGTTTCTCATTTGCCGCTGACTGTAGGTCAGGTATCTTGAAGGTATCAAGAGTTCAATCCCAATAAGGTGATCATCCTTTTCTTATTTCTCAGTTCCGCCCAAATAACTTCCCTGGACTTGTTCCCAGGAATATTCTCCCTTAGTACAGCCATAATGTTATCCTCAATCAAAAACGCCACTCCCCATCCTCTCTTGCAACCCTTTCTAGCCTTCCTATTGCATCTATACCCTGGAACATTAAGCTGCCAGTTCTGTCCATCTCTGAGCCACATTTATTAATTGCTATGATATCCCAGTCCCATGTTCCCAGCCATGCCGAGTTCATCTGCTTTACCTGTTAGGCCTCTTGCATCAAAATAAATGCAGTTTAATTTATCAGTCCTACATCATTCTCTGCTTTGTTCCTGCCTGCCCTGATTGTTTGACTTGTCCTTTTGCCAACTGTAGCAGTCTCAGACTGATCTCTTTCCTCACTATTTCACTGAGTCCCACCACTTCTACCATCTGGAGTAATCCAGATATTACTATCCTCGAGGACCTCCTTTTTAAATTCTTGCCTAACTTCTTATATTCTCTCCTGAGAATCTTGTCGTTTTCTTTTCCTGTGTTATTAGTTCCAATGTGTACAACGACCTCCTGCTGATCCCTCTCCCCTTTTGAGAATATTCTGCACCCTCTCTGAGGTATCCTTGATTGTGGCACCAGGGAGGCAACACACCATTCTGATGTCTTGCTGTCGGCCACAGAACCGTCTGCCTGTGCCTCTGACTAGGCAGTCTGCTATCACAATCGATCGCTTGGAACCTGACATACCCTTCATTACATTGGAGCCAGTCTCAGCACCAGCAACCTGGCTGTCAGTGCTACATTCCCCTGAGAGTCTATCACCCCCTACATTTTCCAAAACACATACTTGTTTGAGATGGGGATAGCCACAGGAGATTCCTGCATGATCTTAGGGACAGTACAATAGCATTTCTGCTGATCATAAAATTACAAACAGATACTAGTAAGATTAGACACTAAATCAGTAATTTTCACTTTGTACATGAATCGAAAATATGTGGCATTAATTCAGACAACTGTTAATTATCTCTGTTCTATCACCCAGAGATCAAATTATTCCCCAATTACTCAATTCAATGGTTGCCAACCTCATGTTGCTGAATAAATACTAACCGTGTAACATGGGCGCAGCTTTCCAGACTGCAACAGGTCCAAAACTGGCAAACTGCCCAAAGGAAGATTCCAAAAAAAACATTGGTATGCCAATGAGTGCCAGCATCAGAGTGTAGGGAATAAGGAACACACCTGGAAAAGAGAGGAGAGGAAAGCTGACAAAGGATGTATTAGTGTTGGACTCAACACTCTTGCTTATAGTCTTGGAATGGATATTAAATAAAGAAACATATGACTCCATTTTATATTGACAGCGAATCAGAATGCAAGGTTATTCAGCATCTAAATACAAAGCAAAAGCAAAAGTAAGCGCTCCGTTTCAACACGGTCAAGCAATTTACAAGGAATTCATGAAGATGTATGAATTAGGAGCAAGACCAGGCCATTCAGCCTATTATTTATCTCAGACTTTATGTCAGATTTCCAGCATCTGCAGTATTTACTTTTATTAGGCCATTCTGCTCCTTGGGCCTGCCCTGCCAATCAGCTAGTTTAGTTTGGGAACATGGTCAGCATGGATCAGTTGGACTGAAGGGCCTGTTTCCATGCTGTATGACTCTATGACTCTATGACTCTACAGTAAGATTATGGCTGACTATCTGAATTTTGATTTCCATATTCTCACCTACCCTCGATAACCTTTGATTCTTTAACAAGAATTCAATCCATTATAGGTCATTGCTGGGTTGAAAATATAATCCGTAAACCTGGCACAGACATCTTACATTGATAATGCTCCAGGGAATGGAGGGCCCATTGATTCCTTGAAAATACAGAGTTTCAAAAGGCATATGATAACATCAAATCATAAATGAGGGATATCAATTGATACAGCGTTCCTGAATTTCTCCCCTCTTTGTGGATCAACTCTCAAGGCTCGTGTTGCAAATTTGCCTGACGTTAGTTTTGGAGTGGATCCTATTCTCATTGTTTTCCGTCCATTTTCTCCTCCAATGCGACTATTGGTGAGAGCTCAAGCCAGAGCTTCCTGCGTCTTTTAAGAGCTTCCTGCACCTTTTACAAGGTTCAGAATAGAATTGAACAGTAACAACCTAAGTCTAAATTCCCATCCTTATTGCATTCTTGCCTTACGAGAGGTTTTGTTATTATCCTTTTATGGTGATGTGTTAATACCCGACTAAGCAATAGAAAACCATATCAGTAGCAGTGCAATGTAACACATGGTGAAACAGAGATGCTGTAAAGAGAAGCCAGCATCTAGACCCTGTGCTGATTCTAAAGCTCCACACCTACTGGAATATGAATTGTTACTTTGGGACAATCTTAGACTCTTGTAACATCTCTTTGGTAAAACAGTGTTTCCAACCTTCCCCAAGAATATTGACACAATTGAAATAGTTTTTTTAAAGGATATCCAAAGTGAATAAATTATCAATTGATATTGACTCACATTGGAGTGTCAATGACTGTCTCACTAACATCCTCCTGCTGTAAAGTGCACCGGCACCCAAGACTGGTTTAGCCGACAAATCTCTCCAGTCTCAACTACATCATTCTATCTTCCTCCCCTCAAAACTGGGTAATAACTGGCACCTGGTCATATCTTCCACATTACAACACAAAATATATTGTTAAACACATAACAGCTTCAAGCTGATACTCTAGTCATTGTTCCCTCTTCCAGCAATATCCAAATTCATATTATTTACCCTGTTAAGTTGATTAAATTTAAATTGCTTATAAATCCACTAATTTATTTCTCTCCCTTGTATTGTGGATTGTGTACAGTACCTCCTCCATTTTTGTAAGCCAGATAAGGGAATCTCCAGACATTACCCAGACCCACAGCACAGCCAATCATCGAGAGCAAGTAGTCAGTCTTTAAGGACCAGTTACCTCGCTCCACATTCTCATCACTTTCACTCACAGGATCATTGGTGACAGCCTGAGGGACAGAGAGGAAAGTTAGATATGCTAAGAAGAGAACTCAAGGAAAAAGGACAGTTTCCCCCCACTAACAATTGGTAGTTTGGAAATGAACTTAATTTCACAGAGACACTCTGCAATTTACAAAAATCAAAATCTTCAAATCATTGACAACTCTCAAGACTTTTATATCAATACACTTGGTAAATTTTCATAAAATGCTTACCCTGTCCTCTGGGTAGTGTGTTTGATGGTCATTCTGTGCAAACCCCGATAAAGACAATTCTATCTTGTCCATTTGTGGGCAATGATAAACGATCCTTGCTCGGTGGTTGAAACTTGGGACATGTCTGAACTTTGTCCAGCTCCATCACACTAGTTAAGAATTAAGAAGTTCTGTAACACTCAGTGACCTCTCTGTAGTCAGAAGTTAGCCTTTCAAACTGCAGATCTAGTCACTGAAGGTTTCAGAGATACAGATCGAGCCTTCCTATTACTGGTTACTTGAATTAGTCTCACAGATGTCAGGAGCAAAGGACATCAACCTACCTGCAGAGGTTTCTGAACGCTGTTATTTTAAATGTGTGAATGTCCCTACATTAATTAGGAGCACAAACAATTCCAAACTCCAAATGTGTTTGCTTAAAAATGGAAGGTTCAGTTTTTGCTTGGAACAAAAAAAAAGGCTTTCATAGAAATTCAGATAGTGTGTAGTATTCAGCAGTGACCATTGTCCTAGTTCAGCCAATACAAAGACATGAAAATAAAACTCACAAAATGAGTATCTGAGTGATGAACAACAGACAAAAGTGTAAAAAAAAATCTTGCACTCTTATTGCTAACAATATCTGAAGGTGAGGCCCACAGTTTAAATTATGCAAACTGTTTGCAGTAAGTTGCTCTGTGCTGCCTCTGTCACTGCACCAATGAACAGAGTGCATTCCACTTCCTGCCCTGTTATTTCTGAGCCCTCCCCTTTCCCTTTGGCAAATTCTTTAGTTGCAGTTTCATTTTCTCTGAAAGCTCCTGCAGCTGCCAAATGTGGATTAAAACATCACAATTTCTAGGTGTTTGCACTTCAAAAGCACCCTGAATTGGAAGAGAAAGAGCAGTGAAGGAACAGTACAATGTAAGTACTTTCCTTTTCCACCGCCCCCCCTCCCGGGTCACTGGTGAAACCAGTTACAGGTCTCTGTGTGTGGAATGTCTGTGTACTGTTCAGTTCCTTGCCAATAATTTGCAACGCTGAAGTGCAGAGTTCGGAGAAAGTGGTGGACGGGCTCTGGGATCAGACACACAGTGAGTGAAAGTTACAAAATTACATTTTCATTCCTTTCTCTTCTATCTCCCTTCATTATCTCCAAGTTCATCTTGCTCCTGAGACACAAACCCTGCTGCCTCAGCCCTATTCTGTTTGCCTGAATTCAGTTCATGTCTCCCATAATGGCTGTTATCATTAACCATTCTATCTTCTTGGATGGGACCTACTGTTTCTGCCACCATCACCGCTCTTCTTAAAAACTACCCTCGACCCCATCCTTGTAAACTAATGCCCAATTTCCAGCCTTCCTATCAGCTCAAGTCCTTGACCATGCTGCCACCTCCCAGACCCATGCCCATATTTCCTGGGACTCCATTTTTGGATCTCTCCATTTTGATTTCCACCCCTGCTGTCGGATGGAAATAGCTCTTATCAATGACACAATGACTATATGATTATGACATAAATATAAACTTCCCAGGTATGTTATGTGCACAAAAAGCAGGTCAAATCAAACTTGGCCAATTAAAGTCCCATTGCACTACTCCCAACTGCAAGAACCATGTCTTTTTATTTTGTGATTTTAAAACCTGTGGACAGAAATGACAAAGAGCTATTTTAAAATCAATGTTTTAAAGGATGGCTGCAGCTTTGAAAATAAGTTACATGATATCCACACTAAGTATCATGTAAATAACTATTTGAACAAGGAGTATTTACAGAATTATAGACAATTTGGAGCTGACAGGGTGTACTGAAGCAATTTTTGCTAGCAACAGGAAGTTGATTGATCAATGAGTTAATGACCAGTTATTGATGACAGACACCCTTTTGCCCACCAACAACTGCATGATTGGTTCCCAGGTAAATTGAACAGCTTGGGCTGAGAACAAGTTACAGAGAGAAAGGTAAGTGTTCAGTTCTTCCCCAAATCAGGAGCAATCTCCCTGTTCTCTGCAGTCAACACGGGCTGTAAACCAGAGAAAAACCAGTTTCTCTTACCTGCAAGAATTGTTGTAAGCTGTGACCTTTAATTGATAAGTCAGAAGTCTTTGATAACTGAGGCAGCAACCTTGTGATTGTCACTAACTAGAGAAAGATGACTGAGACAGTGTGCTAGTCAACAGAAGAATCACAAGGGATCATGTAAACATTAGAACGTGAGAACAATGATTCTCTTTGCTGTTGTTTCCCTCCATCGATAACTATTTCACCTTTTCTGTGTGTGTGTGGAGGGTTGGGAGAGTTAATAAGTGAATTTCAGGTTTAATTAGTTGCATTATATGCTAATGGTTTATAGCTGTTCACCTGTAGCTAGAGTCTAATTGATTGTAATAATAGTGATTCTTGTTCAGAACAGAGACCTGATTAGTGCTTCACATCAATCTGGGTCTGAAAGATGGGTAAATTGGGAACTTTTGCATAGATTTTAAAGTTGTTAATTTTCATGACGACTCCGGGAATATCAGGGCTTGATTTCCAGAACATTACCCCGGGTAAGGTATGACACAATCATCAAAGTGATGGATGGTATTGTTCACAATACTATTAGACCTGCCAGAACTCCCAAGTCTGCTGTTGAAGTGTTCTTTAAAAGCAACACTGACATTTCCTGTTCACAGCCTTTACACTTGGCAAAAGGAGAAAGTTAGACCAAATTTTCCCAGGTGTTACCCAGCAGCCCCCTCAAAGGATAAATCAACCTGTAGCCTAGTTGTGTGTGGTGGGTGAATCTTTGACCTGTGGTTCTCTCAGCATCACATATTGCTGAGTGAGTTTATTATGTGGTGAGTCAGGTACTGGGACAGCCCAGTCTCACTGCAGTGAGGAACCTTTATTGAACATTATCTGACTTCCTTACTTAGGTGCCTGAAAAAGGAACCAAGTCCAATAAGATTGAGAGAACAGGCACCCTTTTTCATCAACAGGCTATAAATTGTGGGTCTACTGACATGGACTGCAGCAGTTCAAGAAGGCAACTCATCACCACCTTCTCAAAGGCAACTAGGGATGGGTGACAATGCTGGCACACATCCTACAAAAATAAATTTTAAAAAAATGTCTTGGGATCTATCGTGTTACCCAAGAAGGCAGGGATTTGTTTGAATCCAAAACAGAACTTATTTCTGTTTCTGTTTCTATTTAGACCTTCAGTATCCACAGTTGTTTGTTTTATTTTGAGGCAGGGATGGTCTCCTGGTGAAGGAAGGCACTGATACAATTCAGTCCACACAGTTAGTAGCGCCATTGAAGAACATAACCACTGGCTGTTGTAATAACCACTCCTCGGGTAATGTTTCCTGCTTGCTACGGTTCCAGATGGGTTAGCACAAAACGGGTGAGGAGGGGTAAACTAGCTCCCCTTGGTTATTTGTCTGCCTTCCTCGGTTGATTGCAGCAAATTTTAATTTTAAAAGGATCCCTTCATTTCAGGATAGCTTATAGTTAAAAGTATCTATTTATAATTTTAAAAGAAGTCAATGTAATCATAGTTCCTTGAATTAACAAAAAGAGCAAGTTACTAGTTACTAAGCAGGTGAAGAAATAATAACTCAACAGGAATACACAGTGATTAAAAATAAGAGTCCAAAAACACAAAAGTTAAAAATAAGATGTACAGATCGGCCTCTGGACTGTTGCTGAAAACTGGATAGCTGAACATTGTGACTACTGCAGTGGAGGTTGCCTTCAGCATCAATGTTGGAGGCTGAACTGTCAATTTTGAATTCTTGGCTTTGGAGGTTAATTGAGGTTTATCCTAATTACTTTTGACTGTAGCTGACTCAGAGTCAGAAAAGTCTTATCCATTCTTTTACCTGCAGTGCTGGGGTATTTAAATGGCTGTTCTCAGAGCTGTGTCCTACATAGCAGACTAGTCCATGTGCTAAGATGTAAGGGTACAAAAAATACAGCCTAGCATTGTCACGTTCTTTTTTGGCTGTAACAGACTTTTTTTTTAGCAGCACACTTTTGAGTTAAGAGTTAACAATATCCTTGGTATTTTCGGTTCTGATTATAAGATTGAAGAGGATTCATGTGAGTTTAGATTTGAACTGGTGCTGAGGCCTTGACTCACAATGAGACATTTAGAAGGTATCTGAAATCTGCAACCTCTGGTTACTGATGGCTTCTGTAGATTCAATTTTTCTCTCTTATTTCTGTCGTAGCTTTGAATATCTCTGTTAAATCTCTCCTTCACGATCTGTTCTCCAAAGATAAATTATTTTTCTCCAGATCGACCAGGAATGGTTAACAAATGCTGGCCTTGCCAGCAATACTTACATCCCATGTAGGGTTGTGAATATGTTAGCTTTTTTTTTCATTTCAGAGCGTATGAACTGGCAATTGATTTTGTCCAGTTTTGGGTTGGGGATGCTGTCAGTATAGAATCTCCTCCTAAACTCAATGTGATTACATTGACTCCTTTTAAAATTATTAATGGATACCTGTAACAATAAGCTAACCACAAAGGAAGGGATCCTTTTTAAAATTAACCTTGCTGTGTTCAGCTGAGGAAGGCAAGAGAATAACCAAGAGGACCTAGTTTGTTGAAATGGCAGGCAACTGGATGTTCACTGTAATTTTTGTGCACGGAATGTAGGTGTTTTGTAAAGTGGTCACCCAGCCTGTGTTTTATCTCCCCAGTGTAGAGATGACCCACTTGTGAGCAGCAAACACAGTTGACTAGATTGTGTGAAGTGCAGGTAAATTGCTGCTTCACCTGAAAGGTGTGCCTGGGGCCTTGAATAGTGAGGAAGGAGTAAGTAAACGGGCAGGTTTTACATATTCTGCAGTTGCTTGGGAAAGTGCCGTTGGGGGTGGGGATATTGAGAAAGAAGAGCAGTAGACCAGGGCTGCTATCGCACTCAACCCATTGTCAGCTACTAATAGTCCCCATTAGCAACAATTCATTCTCCCTGGCTGACCTTACCCACTGCTTTGTCTGCCCAATCATTTTACTCTATCATTGATTCCTGCCTCCAACGTCCACCTCATCTTTAAGTTGTATTACAAACTTATCCTAGCTACATCACTTCTGAAGAAGGGTCACTGGATCCAAAATGTTAAGTCTGCTTTCTCTCCACAGATTGTCCCAGACCTACTGAGATTTTCCAGCCAATTCTATTTTTGTACAAGACACTCATTAGACCTCAGCTGGAGTACAGTGTGCAATTGTAAGCACCACATTATAGGAAGGATGTGAATACATTGGAGAGAATGCAAGAGTGATTTACTAGAATGGTTCCAGGAATGCAAAAATTCAGTTAGGAGGAGACTCTCTGAAATAACTGCACAGAGGCTGGTATCCCATCACCAAGTCACCCTTTATTTACTTGTGCACAGTATACTGGCTATGGCCAGCCAGCCAGCTTGGAGTCAGTTCCCTGAACTGAGGAGATCCCAAATCTCCTGGTTACATTGGTCAGCCAAGGTTTCCTTGATTGGCCAGGTTAACAATGCCAATCAAGGATATCATAGTCAACAAGATCCATCTGGTTCCAATCACTACACTTTCAAAATCATGAGTGAGCTAGATAGAGTAAATTGGGAGAGCTGCTTCCACTCTTAAAAGGAATAAAGAACAATAGGGCATAGACATAAAGGGATATGCAAACTAAACAAGGGTGAAATGAGGAAAAAAAATGGTTTCACTCAGTGAGTAGTTAGGGTATGGAATGTACTGCTGGCAAATGTGGTGGAGGCAGGTTAAATTGAGACATTGAAGAGGGCATTAGGTGGAAATAGTGTACAGGCACGTGGGGAAAAGGCAGGAGGGGTTGGCACAAGGTAATTAAACTGGTGTAGGCACAACAGGCCAAATAGCCTCCTCTTTGCAGGAACAGTTTCTGTGAATTCGAAACTCCTTGTCCCACATATCCAGGTGGATGACAGTGCAGAAGTTCTTAGATTACAGGAGGATTTTAATGGATTGGGTAGATGGGAAAATGCACTTTACAAGACAAGAGAGTACTCAATGAATGGCAGACACTTGGAAGCTCAAAGGAACAAGGCAGTCTTGGGGTGTTGTCCACAATCGCTGAAGGTAGCAGGATAGGTTAATGGGGTAGTTAAGAAGGCATACAGGGCACTGGCCTTTATCAATCACATGTTCTGAGAGGATTGAGATAACAATGTTTAAAGTAATGAAAGATGGGATATGTTTAATGGAAGCAGGTTGCTTCTAAAGATTGCGAGGTCAAATACCCAGAACTGTAGAGAAAAGATGAAGTGTTAGAGATTTCAATCAGTGATCAAGAGAAACATCTTTACATTGGGATTTGCGAAACTGTGGGATTAACTTCCAGGATTAGTGACTGGAGCACAAAGTTTACTAGTCACAAAGTTCAATAGTTTATAATACTGGCAAAGTTCAATAGATTATAAGAGCAAAGAGGTTATGTTGGAGTTGTACCGAACTTTGGTTAGGCCACTGCTGCAATAGTGTATGCAGTTCTGGTCACTACACCTCTGGAAGGATGTGATTGCACTGGAGGGGGTAGAGAGGAGATTCACCGGGATGTTGCCTGGAATGGAGCACTTTAGCGGTAAATTCAGATTGTCGTCTTCAGAGCAGAGAAGGCTGAGAGGGGACCTGATAGAGGTATATAAGATTGAGGTGCATGGACAGGGTGAGTAGAAAACAGCTTTAGTCAAAGGGTCAAGAACAAGGGGGAATAATTTTAAGATGATAGGAAGGAAGTTTAGATGGGATTTAAGGAAAGCTTTTTTTCATCCAGAGGGTGATGAGGGTTTGGAGTGCACTGCCTGGGAGGGGAGTTGAGGCAGATAACCTCACAACCTTTAAGAAGTACTTAGACGAATGCTTGAAGTTTCGGACAAAGGCCCATCTGTTCTGTACTGTACGATTCTACAATTTGACATCAGTATTCACATCCTTGATTCACCCAAGAACAATTTCCATGACACGATAATAATTTCAGCCTGTGTCATTATCCAGTACTGTGTTGGATTTTCCCATGATTAATCTTTATCAAACATTTCTAGTGGGGAGACTTACTTTTTAGACAGCACTATTTAACATGGGGACAAGACTAAACAGTTAGCAAAGGGACAAATTATAACCTGTAAAAGTTTGAAACTTCTCAGTATTCCTGAACTCAGGAATATATAACATTTGTGTATTAATGTTCTTTGCAGAGATCAATGGCCCAGTCCACTCTCTCCAAGTTCTTCACTCCTCAGGACAGTAGGAACCTACAACATCAGTACAATATGGGGGATTTAGAAACTGTGATTCTTCAGATGAAGAGGAAGTCTGACAATTTAAACCACATGCAGCTGAACATTGCAGTGATGGGGGATGTGGGCTCAGGGAAGTCCACCTTCATTAATGCAATGAGAGGACTTCAGAGTGATGACCAAGGAGCTGCTCCAACTGGGAATGAAGAAACCAGGATTGAGCCAACCGAGTATCCTTATCAAGATCTGCCTCATGTCCAACTCTGGGATCTTCCAGGAACAAATTCCTTTGGTTTTGAACTAAATCATTACTTAACGAAGGTGAATTTTGAAAACTATGACTTTTTCATTATTATTTCTCAATCTCGATTCAGAGAGAATGATGCAGATCTTGCCAAAAAGATTCAAGAACAAGGCAAAGAGTTTTACTACGTCCGGGCCAAAATAGACAATGATGTCCGGTCACTGAAGAGACAAGGTGCTGACCTTAATGAAGGCTGGGACAGGATCCGCAGAGACTGTGTCAGTAACTTCCAAAGTGTAGAGGTTACACCACCAGCTATTTTTCTGATCTCTAGTTTTGATCGAGAGGAATATGACTTTCCTGAATTAAAGAACACACTCGCCAGGGATCTCCCACGCATTAAATCAAACATCTTCTCACTGTCAATCCCAAAGATTATGACAGAAATTACAGAATACAAACAAAGGATGTTACAGAAGAGAGTCTGGATATTGACCATTTTCAATGGATCAGTAGGTGCATTACCATTACCATTAAAAGTGCCAGTTCAAATGCCAGGTTCATTGCCAGTTCAAACATTAATGCCAGTGTTGTCATTTATCACTATTGTTGGGCTGACAGTTGTTGGGTGGATATACCTTCGGAAACAGCTGGGAGTCAGTGATAAGTTTCTTCAACGTTTGGCCAGCAAAATCTCCAAGCCAAGTTCCATTCTGAAAGCTGAAATGAATTACCAATTGCCAAGTAAAATGCCACCAGCTGCTACCAACACCCTCTTAGGAATCACCCTCATCACGTACATGATAACTAGGACCAGACGTAGCTTCAGTCCAATGACCCTGTCTATCTTCGGAGCAGTGTCATCCTTTGTTTTTACCTACAAGTTGTTGAAGAATTCTCTGAGTCAGCATTTGGAAACAGTACAACAGTTAGTGAAGAGTGCATTGACTACAGAGTGACATGACCCTGTGGACATTACACCAATCAACTTAGTGATGTTTAATATAGAATGTGACAGATTAATCTGATCAGGTCCCAGGTCAAAATCATTCTCTGTTCCGAGCATAAGACATATTCCTGGCCTTCATTGGTGTTATTACACTTTATTTTAATAAGAATAAATGAAGATAAACTGTACCAATGTTCATTTGTGTATAGGATGGGCTGAAGGGCTAAACTTGTTGATAATATTGACAGCTGCATGACTTGAATGAGTCCTGTGAACATTCTTGTATGTGCCAAAGATGGCACAATCAACGTGTTTTCCTGTAGTTGCTTTCCCTGTGCCTGGCTATTTGTCGCACTGTCTAAGAGAGAGAGTTCCGTTCCAAGTCTCTGGACTTCACCTTGGACCGAGATCACAAACAGTGCCAAAAACAACCTCCACCTCCGTCAATTGAGGGGTCCCTGACGGGCAGAAGAACGTGAGGATTATTGTTTTTTTCTTCATCTCTTTTTCATTCTTTTTATTTCCTTAATAAATGTTCCTTTCTTTTTTGGTCTTTTATTATTACTCAATAAATGTTCATATTTAAGTAAATTGCTGTTGACAAGGTTCCTTTTAAGCACATTTAACTGAATCCGAAGAGAACCGCTTGGATGCACTTTGTGATCCAAAACATTTTTGACGAAGATGGGGTTCGGGAAAATGTTTAAGAGAAGGAAAAAGTAACCTGACACTCCAGAGACCTTCTGTATTCCAGGGTGAAGTGCAGCAGACTCTGGATTCAGGTCTGTAGCTAACATGTTAGCACAATTAGGACCCCCAAAATGATGGGGGACAGTTATAACTGGAGAACAAGAGAACTGGAGGCCAGGTTTCTGCACTGTGCAAGTGCACTGAACCTTGTAGAAGGTTTGTGGTCTGGTTTGAATGCACCTTTGTTTGTTGGTTACTAAATGTCATCTTGTACAATTTGTCTCTTTTTTTTTCCCTGGAGTTCGAGATCTGGGATACTTTGAAGTTTGAGTTTGCGTTTTGGGAACGTATGATGGTTTGAAAGTGTGTTCTGTGCCTCTATCAGTGTGGGATATGTATGGTTAATGTAATGTCCTTTTTAAGAAACCATCAGTGGTTGTGTAAAGGAAAAAAATCTGTGAAATGTGATTTAAAAATTTGGTTCGTAAAGCTTGGTAAAAAATTTACCTTTGGAATTGGCTCCATGTTGGTTTGGATTTGAGTAATTTATAATTCCAGAAATTACCACGTTTGGAATTTCATTTTCTCGCCAGAGTGGAATTCCAGATATTGTTTTAACATGAGTGAATCCTTAAATCCTGATGATAAGGTTGACTCATTGTTAATATCCAAGAGATATGGACATTGGAATGTTGAAAATGCAACTCCCTGTTCACAAGGGGTTTAGGAAAGGCAAATTTAACAAAGGAGTGGGCTTTTCCTTCCTTCAAGGAGGAAGAGAGATGGATGACATAATTACGTGCAGGAGTTTATGCCCCATTCGCTTTTTTGAATCTGTAGTGGACTAATACTAATTAACCCATTCTGCTTGATGTAGAATGGATGGAACTTGTTTGTTTTTTTTTAGAAATTGGAGACACTGAAGGCTGAACCCATTTGCAGAACTTTTAACGTCGCAACACAGTGATGGATAAGGCACCCTCAACCCATTAAGCCATTCATCAATAACACATTTCAGTGTTGGGGAAGTACTGTGGAAGTATAAGTTGTAGTGAGTGTCAGGAATCTTGAAACCACTGAGCCTGGGTACACTTAAGCATATCATGACAAAATCTATATTAAGACTCATATGCCCTGTTACTCAAAAAAAAATTGAATGGAATAGTTATCTGAAAATTTAAAAGAATTCTGGGAAACGATAAAGTGCATGCACACCGTCTCAATGGTTTCAATGCATGAAAATGGTTAGTGACTTTAAGAGAGTAAACAGAGTATTGAATTTGGAAAAAATTGATATCGAGATATATCAAATATCTAGAATGAGTCATCAAGTAACTTTTTAAAAAAAAAAAAGGGTCATCTTCGAGAAAGAACAAACAGAAATGTTTGACTTATGTTTTAAAATATTAGAAGGTTATGTTCCAAGGACTACAAATTTCTGGAATTAGATAAAGTGGTAATAGTTAAGTTGCAAAATTGGATGAGATGAAGGAATTAATGGTGGAAACTGATAGCAGAAGAGAAAAAAATTAGAATAATGGGTTGAAGCGGCAGTTCAGGTTAAGATGTTACAGTAATTAAAAGGAAGTTTAGATGAGAGCACGAAACTCTTGGTGATGTTTGTGTCCTTGTCTTTCCTTTTTAAGAGAACTGATTTGGTAATCAAGGCACTACCCAAGGCATTGGGACCATACGTGGAGAGATAAGTAAAACCTCATAGATCATTTGATAAGATCAAGTGGGAGTCCAGAATGCGTGACATGGTCTGAGGACACCGATGTAAGTGTGCAAAAGTGAATATTGCCTTGGAGGTAACAAACGTGACATGGTAAAAAACATGCACTGAAGAATGGGTCTCAGACATATACACCAACTTGACGAAAGGATTAGTGTGGCTTCGAAGAGTACAAAGACATAATTTAAACAATAAGATACGGACACATAATCCACAGAAAACTGACTTTAAAACAATGAAAGTAGTAGTAGTGAAATGAATGTAAAAAGAATTACAATCAAAATAAAAAGTGTGATTGGCTATTGTGTCAAAATGAAAGAATATGGATTCTGATAGGAGTAATAGTGGACTGAGTGAAAGGGCCCATCGGATGAGATACAGATACAAAGGCTCAAGATGGGGTATGACGCATGATCTCCAGTGTTTAAATCAGTAGGTGAAATCTAACAGGACAGTTAGTGTATGTGAAAGAAGGCGGAGCTAAGATTCAGGTGGTGTAAAAGTCTATGGTAAGGGAACCCCAGGGAAAATAAAAAGCGGGAAGCAATACTTGAAGGTAAAGCCTGATGAGCATTAGAGCTGTACTGTTTGATCCACGTATATTGTAGCTCAAAGCGGGTACTTGCATGTGGAGGTATGTATCATTGAATGGTAACATCATTCATTAAATTAGCAAGGAAGGAAACGTATTGAAGAAGTATTCTCAAGACAGATACAGATGAAGAGAGCTGGAGAAATTTTGAGTCCATGTATGATGTTATTTTACTGTTATTGGGTGAAGTGATCTGTGGATAGGGAACTGGAGAATTAAGAAAAAACACAAATTAAGGAAACTGAATCTGGAATATACTGAATTTTAGAGCACATTATGTAAACAGATTAACTGAAAAAGAACGTGGACGATATTCTGGCCATCTCAATCAGATGGCATGACTTGCCAGGTCCATCATGGCCTTGACTGTACATCAGTGGTGAGATATATATTTAAGGGTTGGTCCCCAAAGGCCACTGCAACTTGATGGTACACCCTATTGTATTGTTTGTACTGATGCTAGTTATTTTCGTTGTAGTCTTAATCTTCTAGTGTAGGTTACATACTCTTAATATACGTTCCTGTGCGGCTGTCGCTGATTTGCATCTGCATCTGCAATTGTAACATGCGCTGTCAAATATCATCGGGTGGATTGTATAGGATGGGCCGAAGGGCTAAACTTGTTGATGATATTCGAAAGCTGCGTGACCTTGAATGAGTCCTGTGAACATTCCTGTACGTGCCGAAGATGGCGCAATCAACGTGTTTTTCTGTAATTGTTTTTCTGTGCCTGGCTGTTTGTTACGCCGCATAAGTTTTGTTCCAAGTTTCTGGGCTTCACCTTGGACTGAGATTGCTAATGGTGCAATCTCAGCTTCCAGACCAGCCATCGAACGAGCAGCCCCCAATGGGCAGAAGGGTGTGAGGCTTATTATTTCTTTTTTCCTCTCTTTAACATTCTTTTTATTTACTTAATAAATGTTCCTTTTTTTTGTCTTTTATTATTACTCAATAAATGGTCATATTGAAGCAAATTGCTGTTGACGAGCCTTCTCTTAATTACATTTAACTAAATCCGAAAGCAATTGCTTGAATGCACTCCATGATCCAAGACAGCTTTCATTTAGATTTAATTTACTGCTTCTTCAGCTCCTTTACCGAGCATTGCTTACTATGAGCCATTGCACCAATGATTTGAATGAGGTCGATCGAGGATCAAAATGTGAGAGTCACTTGTCACTATTGAATCTTGTGTTCCAGACACCAATCCTGGAAGTTAATCCCACAGTTTCACAAATCCCTATATAAAGATGTCCCCCCTGCCGCCCTGCCAACCCCGGCCTCATCCCATGACCAACCCTCCCTCTCATCCCCGCCTCCTTGACCTGACACAACCTGTCCGTCTTCTCTCCCACCCATCCAGCCCTCGTACCTCACTGACCAATCCCCACCATTCCCTACCTGCACTCACCTATCACCATCCCACTTACTTTCCCCAGCCCCACCCCTCCTCTCTATTTATTTCCCAGCTTGCTTTTCCCTCCCCATTTCCGAACAAGGGTCCTGATCTGAAACGTCAACATTCCTGTTCCTCTGATGCTGCCTGGCCTGCTGTGTTCATCCAGCTGCACACTGAGTTATCTCTGACTCCAGCATCTGCAGTTCTTACTATTTCTCTGAAGCCTGTTTGAAGTCTCTAACACTTCATCTTTTCTCTGTAGTTCTAGGCATTTGACCTTTCGAGTTTTATCAAATACATCCCATCTTTCATTATTTTAAACATTGCTTTCTCAATCCCCTTTAGAACACATGTTGAATATGAATAGGGTGAGCCCTGACAGAAAGGGCACAAAGTGAGAATGAGCTGAAGAGACAAAGCCATCTACTTTACTGGACGAGGAACACACTGGTCTTGTCTGATGTCCCAATCTTGATCTGTTACAAAATCACATCTCATAGTCTCAGTAATTAGTTGCTGTAAACTACAAACACAGATCACACCTGTCTGTGCTTGTATTATCTATCTCTCAGCTCTCCAGAGTGAGGAGGAAAGGGAAAGGAAGGCTTCTCATTCCCACGGGCAGCTGCTTGTATTACTCTATAACCTTTACTGTTCAAATAAAGTACCTCCCTTCAAGCATCTGTAATGGTTCATTTGGAGAATATTTTCTCCCCAGTCTGAGTGACAACAACAACCTGCATTTATATAGCATCTTCAAGACATCTCAGAC